TTTAAGATTTTATTAAAAAAATTAATCTTTTAAAAAAGTTTGCAGGCAAATTTGCCTGCAATACAAATTAAGGGATATAGTACAAATTGGTATGATAGAATTAATAATACGTGTTGGAATGTTGTAATTAAAGTTGTTTGAGATTCAAACATAAATGTACAAGAATTTATTCAGGAATTGAATTACTGTGAATCTACAAAGCATGTATAACTTAATTTCTGAGTGTGTGAAAAGTATTCATGTTCAATTTTACGATCCACGTACGTATGACTTTAATTATGCAAATGAACAGTTTCAATGAATATAATCCTTATAAAGTTCTAATTTAAAGATTACATTGGCATGACCAAGCATCATTTTATAATATTAGGATATAGCATTTTATTTATTTAAAACATTTCAAATATTCGTATCAATTATTTTTAAACAAAAATAAAAACTATAGTCTAGAATATAGTTAAAAAATTTTAAAACAAAATTTAAAAAAATGTAATATATTTATTCAATTGATAAACTTAAATAGGAAGGCTGTTTAAGCAAATCATCAAATAAATTTGATAATCTCCATTTAGCTTCACTATTTTTAGCAGGATGTGTAGTATCAAGATCTTCTTCATAATTAAAATAGTATCAGTATCATCTAATAAATTGGCATTATTATCAATTTTCTCTAATTCATTGTTTTCTTCATCTACCAAGATACTAAATAGCGCCAATTATTAATATTCTGAATATCTCTAATATGATTTTTAAATTCATCAGATTTAATATCAGAATCAGATTCATTTAGTTCATTCGATTCATCTTCTATATAAAGATCATCATCACTTGATAAATTAAAAAGCCCATTATTATTATCAGAATAATCCTCATTTTCTAAATTTGTATATTGAGCTTGTATTGCAACATTTGTTTCTCGGATTTTTTTTTCTTGTTTGGCTAAAGCTTCATTTAAACATTCATATCATAATTTGTCTTTTAATTGGCATTTTCGTAAAACTTTATTAAACTATATTTAAAATAAAAGTTAAATGATTAAAAATAGTTTAAAATTAAGTACTATTTCAAATATAAAGCTTATTTACTTTTAATTAGTTTTGATGAGAAGTATGCATCCAACCCATTGTAGAAAATAAACATTCTACTAAAGCACTAGTAACAGAAATAGAAAAATTTTTAAAGCTACAAAATATAATTCATTTATATAATTTGCAATATAACTTCAAAATTTTAAAGAATCATTGAAATAGTTATGTTTCTTGATTAAAAAGATTTTTTTCTGTATGATACTGTTCTAACTCTAAAAAAATTACTAAAGGTTTTTTACCAACCCAATATATATAATAGTAACAAACTCATCTATTTAAATATGCATATAAAAGATTTGAAAGTGTAAAATTAAAATTTAAAAATTTATACTTAGAATGAAGCAAAAAAGATAAAAGTAAAAGAGGTTGTTCCCACTCAGCCTATCGCTTATATATTTTTTGAATATAATAATTTTGTAAAGTAGAATTTGACTTTAAAAACTTTATAATCTATCCAAAAACATGAAGAACCTTATGTAGTTGTGTACCATTTTGCAATTTATTTAAAGCTGTGCAATAAGGCTCTACTAATTTATACAAATTTTGTAATTTTTTCCACCAATTAGAATTTGAAAGATTTTCTTGAATATTATTAGAAAAACCACAAAGAGAGCCATCTTCAATTTTTGTTATTAAATTCTAAATATAAAATAAATTAGTAATTTAAATAATATAAATATACTAACAAATAAATTATCTTTAAAGCAGCTTTAGATTTTAAAATGCTTGAGAAGCAATGAAAATAACTATTCAAACATGTATCATTAGGAGTAATTAAAGTAATATATTTTCTTTATATATAGCTAATTGTTTATCTTTTAATCAACTATAAAAAAAATCTGATTTATGAAAATATGTAACAACCTCAATTGCTTTTTCAGCTGTAATTTTTAAATCACTATTTTTTTTAAAAAGATCAACACATAAATTCATTTGGTAACTAAAACAAAGTAAAAAAATTTTATTTTGAAATTCTTTACAAAGTCTTTTTTTAAAAAAATTATTTTATTTTATTTTTTTTTTTGATTAAAGGAGACCTTTTTGGTTAGCGATTTTTATTAAGTTGAGTTCAGGTACTATACATTTAGATGAAGGTACATATAGCCACACGTGCACCTTTTGAGTGCTTAATTTAAGTAGTCTGCCCGAAGGTTCTACACTATCTGCCGTACCTACACCCCAATTAGAGGGATACTCATTTAAACCCTCTGATCTTAATCTATTTCTCTGACACCCATCTTAACGCAGGTGTAACTCACTACTAGAGTATGTAGGTTTTGCAACACTACTATATAAACAGCCAACTTAGAACACTTTACTATCCTCGAAGGTAAGCCCAACAGAGCGATACATGTCCCATATATGCATTCACCTGCATGTTCCGTAATATCTTCCTAGTTAGTATATGTTGTGCTGCCGATACCGAGTCCGTATTTCAAGCTACTCTTTAGAGTACTGCTATAACCTGATCTGTATCTCAAGCCACAACCTTCTTAATTAGTTTCCCATTATGTACTCATTGCCCTTAATGGTTCACAACAACCCCAGTACCCACACTTTGAACCGTCTTCTTACCTAGATTTTTTATCGGCTCCTTTACTTCCAGCCAGCAACCTAGAAGGGTTGGTCTGCCCAGGCTTTAGGTGCCTGAAGGATGCCCTCCTCTTGGTTCATACTTTTGAAGCATATGCCTTTTTCCTCCGGTGCGACAACTCGGCGGTTCGGCTAGTGTGTCTTCTGCTATAGGACCTGGTCGCTCGGTTCTCTAATCTCGGGCCCAGTTTGAATTTAGCCCTCCTGTGATACTGTCAAAGATCACTATTACATCCAGATTCAGGACTTCCCAAATGGGTTTTCGGTTATGCCGGTTCTTCGGGTTTATTGCGCCGAAGCTCCCATTACAAGATAATGTAACCGAAGTTACAGATTTAGTTCTAGATCCAACTGATAAGTATAGCTGTCAACCGAACACAGACCTATTTTTTAAATATTGTCACCAGTGGGATTTGAACTCTAGACCTGCCACTTGAAGAGGGTGACAACTAGACCACTACACTAAATTACTACATTTCATTTTATTATAAATTATTAAATTCAATATAATTAAATTAAGTTATAACTATATTTTAAATATTACCTTGCAGCTATATATTTAGAAGCAAAATCTGTAACTAGTCTATTTATTAAAATACTATGAGCTTTAATTGAATCAAACAAATTTTTTGTTATTAATATTACAGTTTGCCAATTTTTGTACTTATTACTTAAATCCTCAATATTCTATACCAAAGATAATCCTTCTGATGTTATTAATATACTTTTAATAATATTTTGTAAAGCTATATTTTTTTAACTATCATATAACAAAATAATATCAAAATTATATTTAGTTGCAAATTGAACAAGATTATTTAAAACTGTTTCAGTTTTATAATTTAAAAAATGGTTTGAAAGTTCTAATTAACTAGATAATAGAGCATAAAGATTTAAAAATCATATAAGCTTTCTAACTTCTAGATCTTCAATTCATCAAAAAAATCATCTACAGGATATTGTTGCACAAATTAATAAACTTTTATATTGTTCTAAATGCTATCCTTGAAAATTAAATTTTATAAAAGGGATAATTTATATACTGCGCTTCGCAATGTTACCGCATCTCTGCAGATCATAAAATTAGGTGTAATGTGAAATCAAAACAACCCGTTTTTTTGTTAGCTAGGGTTAGGGTGAGGTAA